AAAAAAAAAAAAAAAAAAGCCCTTAGTGCCGGCACGCGCCACAATTTTATAATTAGGAGGCAGAGAGGACGAGGAGCCAAAATAGCTGACAGGTGTCCTGTAAACAGCACCAAGCCACCTGCAGAGCCAGGGTCTGCTTCCATGGCACCGAACTCGGATGCCGAAGTACTGTATAAAGAGCATCCTTCGACCAGGAGGCCAGGAAGCACTCGCTGTGACAGGGCAGGGGAAGGCCCCAAAACCAGACCCTGACATTTGAGGACGAGGTGCGGGGAAGTGGCCACCAGCTGTAGAAGAAGCTCAGGCATCGCCTGCCTCCTCCAGGTGACTCCTGCTTGTCTACCCATACCCTGCTCTGCAGCGGTGGATGGGCCAAAGCTACTTCCCCCATTGTGCAGACAACCAGCAAAGTCCAGTGCATCGCTTACAACATCCCCTGCCTTTTGGCTCCACCTAGAGCAGGGCAACCAGCTTGAGACCGCTGGCGACTGGGACAACGATAACGTTGGTGGGCCTGCCTAAGAGGGCACCCAATTGATGCCAGTGCTGGCTGGTGCTGGCCTCCTGCTCTCTGGCAAAAGCTAGTGTGGACAACTCAAGCCTCTGGACTCAGGCTTATGCCCTACCTGTTACTGCTCAAGAGGAAAGTGGTCTTGGCTTGGTGTTTGCAACCTGCCTGGCTCCGGAGCTGGAGATCACCGAGGCCCATTGAAGGGATGGGGTTAAACATCCTGTAACCTCATCGGGAACTGGTACTGCGAGATCAGCCTTGGGATCAAAACCCCTGCTCCCCATCACATCTGCTCATGCTCTACAAAGTCCTCATAGCCAAGTGGGCTCAACTGAATGTGGTGGGGCCTCTGCTACTTCTGCAGGGTTGCTTGTGTATCGCTTACAGCAAAAAACTGGAGGGGGACACGGCGGCATCACTAATGGCTCTCCTGGAGCATCACTCCATGCTTCTCTGAGCTCAGGGTTACAGCCCAAGTGCTCGGCTGGCTAATAAATGAATGAGGAACTTGGCAGATGGAGGGAACCACGTCTGAGCCCAATGGTAAGAAATGGGGGGTGGGCATTGGAGCCTGCGCTGTGATGAAAAACCATTGATTTACGGGACTAATGAGGAGGTTGCAGGGAAGAGCTCTGCTCTGCCTACATATCCCATGGGCACCCTCCTGCCAACAGGTGGGAGAGAGCATAGGACGGCATCACCTGAATGACCTGGAAAGCCTGGCATTGCAGACCAGCCTGAATCTCCTCCCATCAGCCATGGGGTCAGGAAGAGCAGCTGGTGACCTGCATGCAGCCCCAGGCCCCTTGCCCCTCACCCACCAGCGAGAGGTGGTGCATGAGAAGGTGGTGGTCATGCACACATGCCGGCCTCTCCTTCTCGCACCGGTGGACCACGGCTCTCATGGTGGTTTGGGTCCCTAACTCGTGACAGCCAGGAGCTCCACACAGGCCAGGGGCTGCTTTCCTGAGGATGGGTGGACTTGAAGATAAAGAGAGCCCTAGCACTGCTTATGTCAGGCGGTGGGGCTCAGCTGCCAGTGTGGGGCCACAACCCCTGCAGGGGTGAGGTGTGCTTCGCCACCCACCTGAACGGGCAGGAGCCCTGCATAGGCTGTGGCATGGGCAGCCTGCTCCACGGGTCGGGGATGGAGAGAGACACAGAGAGATGGGGCTGTGGCCATACTGGGATGCACCAGAGCCGCGGTTTCTGTCCTGCCCATGAGACTGCAGCTGGGTCACCCAGGACTCTGACTCTTTCCTCGACCCCTGTCTGTGCACCGCAAACCCAGGGGGCATGCCTGCGGGGAGGCAGTTTATGCTCATGGGCCCGTGTCCTGGCTCTGCTGCTGACAGTGGCAAAGAAGGGGGCACTTGCTTGACTTGGTGGTGGTGGATTTTGAGAACTGGGACCTGGACCCATTCTGGACTGGGACAGGGCCTGCCCCTGAGAAGCGCGCATGGTATTGGCATGAGCATGGGATGGCATCACTGCTCCTGGCAGGAGGGTGCCCGTGGGATATGTAGGCAGAGCAGGGCTCCTCCCTGCAACCTCCTCATTAGTCCCGTATAAATCAATGCTTTTTCATCGCGCTGCAGGCTCCCAGTCCAGAACGGAAGCGCCAGCAGCTGGGAGCTGAACCCCACCTGGCCTCAGCAACCTCTCTGCCCTGCTTCCCCAGACTGGGGGGTACTTAGCAAAGCAGGGCACGTGCCAGGCCTCTCTGTGGCACCAGTGAACAGGGGCTCAGGAGGATGCTGAGAGCTCCAGCCTGTTGCGTGTCACGTCCTTGCCCATGCTGCTGCCTCCTGCTGCATTCGCTCTGCTCTGCATCGGTGCCGAGGTGCTCTGCAGAGCTGGGTGACAGCCCAACAGCGGTGGCACTTGTGTGGCACTCCAGATAGGAGCTCAAGTGCCTGGGATGGCTTGACAGTTCAATTTGCAGTGAGCCAGCTCCCAGAGCCTGCCAGGAGTGTGAGCCTCTCAGTCTGAGCATCCTCTGCTATTGTAGACCCGTCACCCCTGCGGGAAGGTGGGGGCGCCAGCGATAGCTGGCAGGGGAGGAGGAAGAGAGGACTTCTCTGAGCTCTGTGGCTCTTTCCACCTGACTGATTTGTCTTCCTCTCTCATCAGTGACCACTGCAGTGGTGTGCAACGGCTAGCTCGGTCCTCCAAAGTATGCCCAGACACTTCCCCAGCCCTCTACTCGTGCCTGTCACTCTCTGGGTTATTCCCCCTTTACAAACCTCCTCCTCTACCTGCCTGCCAGCACCTTGTCCATAGGTGGAAATGGC